ACTGAAATATGTTCTCGTCTTATTACGGCTAAGGCAAGAGTAACCCCTTTAAAGATTCAAACTATACCCCGCTTGGAACTTACGGCAGCAGTGTTAGCAGCGCGTATGGGGTCCCAGCTGCAGTCTGAGTTAGATATCAAGTTTGCAGAAGTTGTGTTTTGGACGGATTCCATGATTGTCTTACATTATATTAGGAATGAGAAAAGCCAGTTTAAAACATTCATAGCCAACCGGGTCTCGACTATCCACAGTCTTACAAAAGTGGACCAATGGAGATTTGTACCTTCTAAGGAAAACGTAGCAGACTTTGCATCCAGAGGAGCCAAGTTCAACATTGATGATGTCAAGGTATGGGAGGAGGGACCACATTTTTTGAAGAAGTCAAAGGAGTATTGGCCTGAAGCAGATGTACAAGGTCCTGAACCCCATCTCTTAGAATTAAAGAAGGTAATGTCCACGCATGTAATAATTGGAGAATCCACCGTTGATCTGCTTATTAATTATTATTCAGATTGGACTAGATTACTTAAGGCTGTTGCATGGTTGATCCGATTTAAGCGATATTTATTAATAATGTATTCTGGCAGAAATGATCTGTCTCTACAGGTGGATATGCTCAGAGTTGATGAGCTAGATGTAGCATGTTTAGATTTAATTCGATATGTCCAAAGCATAGTATTTCGGAAAGAGATTGAAATGTTGTCGTCTGATACCATTAGCAAAGTGAAAATAACGAATTCACCCTTACGAACCTTAAATCCAATAATTATAGACGGTTTATTGTGTGTCGGTGGCCGACTTCAAATTAGTTCCTGGTCTGAGTCGAGGAAGCATCCTATAATATTACCATCGAAGCATACAATTACAGATTTGATTCTACGGTACTACCATGTTTTGGAGGGACATGTCGGAGCTACACAGGTAATGGCAACGGTTCGAGAAATATTTTGGGTGCTGAGGGGTGGTGTAGCCATGAGGAGAGTGATAAAGGATTGTGTTTATTGTAAAAGGAGGAACGCCCATCCAATTCAACAACTAATGGCACCATTACCTGCGATCAGGATAGAAGGTTGTGACTATCCGTTCTTATCAGTTGGAGTAGATTATTTTGGACCCCTTATGGTTAAAAATGGTAGAAATACTGAGAAGCGGTATGGTTGTGTATTCACTTGTTTAAGGTTGAGAGCTGTGCATCTAGAGGTGGCATATAGTTTTACCACTGACTCATTTATCATGGCACTAATGAGATTTGTCGGCAGAAGAGGTTATCCAAAGGAGATATATAGTGATAATGGATCAAATCTGGTGGGAGCTGAACGTGAATTAAGAAAATGTCTTCAAGGTTGGGTTCAGGAGCGTATACACTCTGATTTACTAAGAAAAGGAATTGACTGGCATTTCAATCCTCCAGCCGCTAGTCATTGGGGAGGAGTGTGGGAGCGCATGATTCGCTCTGTACGTAGGGTATCGGGTGCTCTTGTAAAGGAACAAATTTTAACAGATGAATGCCTTGAAACTTTTATGATAGAGGCGGAGCGTATAATAAACAATCGACCTTTGGTTCCCGTTACAGACGACTCCAGGGATCTTGATGCAATAACACCAGCAAAACTATTACTATTGAGAGAGAATGTTGCAGAATTTACCGACACTGTATCTAATGACAGGTATTCTAAGAGATGGAAGCAAGCGAGTTACTTGGCGCAAGTATTTTGGAAACGTTGGTCTAAGGAATATGTTTCACTGTTGCAGCGTAGATACAAGTGGACACAGTTAGAGAGGAACATACGAGAAGGTGACTTAGTAATGATATGCTCTGACTTCTCTGAGAAAAACAAGTGGCCCTTAGGTCTAGTACAGAGAGTGATACCAAGTAAGGACAGACTAGTGAGACAGGTAGAACTAAGGACGAGGAAGGGGATCCTAGTGAGAGATATACGTAAACTGTGTCTTCTTGAAGCGGTAGATGGTAGGTAGCTACTCGGATCCCTAGGCGTACTGGTGTAAGTCCAAGGGATCACGAGATTGTTGAAATATTGCATGCTTGTTGTTGATTGCTTGTGATGCACATATTTGGATTGTTGTTATCTATTTTTGTCGGTGAAAAGAACCAAGGTTCTTTTGGTCGGGAGTGTTACGGGAGAAACGAAGACATTTTGCTGATCAAACCTTTATATATATAATCATTAATTTCACTGTTTTTTGGGTATATTTGTTTTACTTAACTTATGAACTTGTTTGAATTATTATTTGCGGACATTTTGGACTCCCGTTTCTCTTTGTTGTTCGTTGCAGTTTTTTGCTCCAAGAGCTAATAAATTAGAAGGTAATTGTAATTATTATAATTATTGTTGTTAGAACGACATTGGTCGTCTATTTGTAATACAGTATTTTGGTGGAATTTGTGATTTGGAATAAACTTTGGTATCTACTTTGGAGTTTCGTTCTTGGTTTAGAAATTTCGGACCGTGAATTACAAATAGTCGACAACCGTGCTTCGTAAGATCAACGAGCAAAAAACTGGACGTAACAGTAAAGTAAACAAGTCTTCGGCAATATCAAGGTTAATATTTAAGGCATAGGATGAGCTGCTGAAAAAAAGAAATGAAAAGAAAGGGGAGAGAAACAAAACAGAAAATATTCTTGTGTAAAACCGACTCATGACTCATATCACTTTTGAATGAAACAAAGATATGATTACTCAAGCCTTTCTTTTTCTGTACTATAACACTATATGCAAACCTGTACTCATGCAGGTTAATGAAGTCAAGTCATTAGTAAGATAACGAATGGGTAGATAATATGATGACTCAAAAGAACCAAACTGTTAGAAATTATGCTAATTTAAAGAATACAATGGGGAAGGAGGAGTGATTTGATGCTTTGGTGGTATTTCACATATTGATTTATTTTTCAACGCCGTTGGTTGATAATTCATGAGTGAACTATTATACACCATAACTGTACAGATCTGTTCGTAATAGTCTTTCTTGGTGGGAATAGTAACAAGTTCAAGGTTGAAAACATGCTTAACATGAAAAGGTAACATCAATATTACTGATTAGCTATATCGCGCTATATCGGAAGGAGCTGTAAGCAAACAACATGTTCTGCCCCACAGACACGGTTGGATTGAGGTTATCGCACCAACTTCAGGAATGCTGGTCAGATACATCAACCTACCATTATCTATGCAGAGAATTTTACAGCTGAGGTGACCTCATCTAGCAAGTCATTAATGAATAACAGGACGAGTAGTGTACTTAAGATGGTTCACTGTGAAACTCCTAATACTGAAATCCGCCACCTCGCGTGCAATCTGTTTACATTAATATGAGACTTTCTGTTCTCTAGGTGGTTTCTAAGCATCACATTACCTTCTACTGTATTGATGGTAATGCGACTGGTCTGTAACTCACTAGATCCTCTCTAAATCCTCTTCCAAATATTGGAGAAAGATTTCTAGCTGGAAGTTGGTTTGACTCCAGTGAATGTCTGAACAGGTCACATACCGATGTGATGATGACTTCTGTACACATTTTCAAGACTATAGGGCGAATACTGTCACATCTCGTTGACTTTTTCGGGGGCTGGGACTTATGATTGATTAGTAATATGCCAGAAGTAAGTCGGAAATTCCACAAGCCATCAGATGACATTTAAATTAAGTAACGCTTATGGGTATCTAGGTTAACCGGTCGTTGGAGTCAGCATTCAATCACTGAGGAATCGCTAAGTTAGTATAATCTTCGCCCTGGACTCAATTTGTTATGATTCTCTACCAAAAGTAGTTCGTCGCAAGTCAAACGGCTTAACACTGGCCATATAATGAATTGTAATTTCCATAGACTGAAACATTAACAGTTTTATAGGAAAAATATAAGCTTTCTAAAATAGCCAGAGTACCTTAAAAAAATACTCAAATAAAAGAACAAACCTTTACTGTGAGTGTATTAACATTTTTAAAATTTTGGTCCTGCCTGTAAATTGGCATGCCTCATGTAACAAGCTGTTTCCTGTAAATAAATTATTATTAGTAAAAACATTGGCTCGTAGATTTGCTTTTATTCATGAATCGGAAGAGATATTTTAAATTTGCCTGTAACTTGTCAGTTAGCTTCGTCTGTGTCTCCAATCGCTCCAAATCTTTGCATTGCGCCTGGTAAATCCGTACAATCAATTATTTTCTGTCATTCGTGTTGGAGAGACAGTTGCATGGTTCTGTCATGTCGGTCAGTTAGGTTCTGTGTGATGTTACGGCTCTGATGTTGTTGTTAAGAGATATCAATTCTCTACTTCCTGTTTTTACGTACTGTCTTATTGAAAGAGTGTCACGCCTTGCAAGCTCCCTAGGTCGTCTGACATTACAAGAAACAGCTATGTTTCCGTAACGATTATGATCTAAAGATTCAACTGAGGGAAAACGTTCCTGATCTCTCCCAGATTACTCCTTAGTCTTATTACGTTGTTAAAGAGGCGTTTGCCTTACTAAGGATTGGACTGCGAGATTATGTAAAGACGGAGTGACGCGGGATCTAAGTTTCGAAGGAGGAAAGAAATGATATTAGGTTGAGTGAATATATACTACGCGATATTAGAATCTGAGAGCGATTCAAAATCGCAACGTTAATTTGACCGTCCTAAATAGAATCCATGGGTGCATGCAGTAACTTTTTTACAAATCCTGTGTTCGCAGGTGGGGGGATGTGCATGTTGCCAATGAAGTACCCAGGAAGAGAGTATTTTATCAGCTAGACCTACCGCATAGTGACGATAACGTAGTATAATGAAGTTTGTCTGATATGTTATTTAGACTGTCTACCAACTGTTTCCTGTTGATGGTTAATGGTCAACAACGATAAGGCGATTTCGAATGTGGCGCTCCAGATCAAATAATTTCAAATCAAATATCCAGAAAATAAAGCGTTTTAAGAGAGTCAATAATGTACTTAATTAACAACTACATATAGCTAATACCTAGTTCTGTTTTACTGTGTCCATTTCTTAGGTCAGTGGCATTGACCATATAGCGCTTCTGGTGTCTACTCTGTGGAAGTGAGTGGTTGGAGGATATGAGTCTTCTAACCCTATTTTATGAATATAATAAGCAAACTGTGTACTTTTTTCAAAGCCTTCATGGAATCAGTAGTTAATTTTTATGATCTTATCAGCAGATTTGAAGCAAGTTAAGCAAAATTTCTAAGACTGGTTGTGAATAAGCATAAAAGTGTACTAGATTTCATGGCATATGGTGCAGTTTCGCTCGCTGCCAAGCTTTTTTGCTGTTTGTTTCCTTTATTTTCATGTTGGGTTCTCTGGTTTTTTTATAGCCGGGATATAATTATATTTTATCTCACATTATGGCATGTATTTAGGTACAAATCTTTGTTCACAGTGAGCTGAAAAGCCTCTGATCCAGTAACGTTCTGAGGATTTCTCCCCATGTCTCTGGAGTTTACTGTTGGGTCTCCCTGAAAACCTACAGAAAACTCCGGTCTATCGTAGTTAACATTCTTATGTATCATTTCACAATATACGTATACCTACTGGATCATTTATTCAACTTAAAAGCCCTAACTCGTTTATTTGTGATACAATTTGAAGAATGACCATAATGTGCAACAAATCCGTTGGGATATGTATCTTGCATAAAGGTTTATTTATTTACGTATTTAAGCAGTTCTTGGTACGGATAGTCACCAGAATATATTTGCACCAAACCAGTAATTGAATTCGTCCGTTGGTTTAAGTCCTCAAACCGAAGTACATAATTTTTCAGAGTTCGCTGCATGAGCCTGCAGATATAATCCACCAGATAGTGGAGCGACGTAAAAAGACCCAGTTCCGTAGTAGCTGTTGACCAAGAATCGGTTCGTACGCCTCTTGTTCTGTCAGGATCCTGGAGCCCATGTATATATTCGGTTAATAACCAGGTTTTTTAACTACTCTTTGGTGGGTTCTTCGTATGTACCAATACGGCCTAGGCACTAGCTAATATCAGTTCGCTGCGGAAACTATTAACTCTTTCGCCCAACTCTAAATCCTGTTGCTAAGTCCTCACACTAAAATCTAGCGCTGTTTTAACCTGAGTAAGCAGGTAAATCTCAAGATTACTTGAGCTTTACTCAAAAGTCGTCCATAGATTGAAGTCTTACCACTCAAATTAACCTGTGATTTAATAGTGGACACTCATAGTGACTACTAAATCCTTCTCAAGCTCGTAAAATAATATACATAGTAAAACTTGTATGGACGTTAAACCTAATGGCCTGATTACATTTACTTTGGTTGATCCTCCTACGGTTACCATTAATCCGTAGTGTATTTGCCGATGCACCAAACGCTTCTTCATGAATACACATGTAGATATAATCTCTTGATTTGTGTGAATCCCTAAATTTTTGAGCTTAACCCTTATCCAGAAAGTTGAATAGCCAGCTCCGTCATTAGCTACTGTCACAACTAATCTTTATTCATAAGTATAATGCTCAAATATACTAAAAAGTCATCTTTTGACAATAACGTGCGTTTTTTGAATAACTTGTTGACACTTGGAAAACTCGGAGATAAATGTTTCTTTGCATGCGCAGTTATTGTACTAATTTCCACGCCCTCAAGCTTTTAAACCTATCAAATTATAAAATTTTCGTCAAGTTATGACTGCTATCTGGTGTCGCTGAACTTGCAGTAATGTACTAAGGTCATCTTTTCGCATTGTCATCTTAAAGACCTGTAAAATGATGTTAAACAAAATCTCTGAAAATACCACCTGTTAAGTTACGATAATAGTTTTCTCAAGATTGTAGAATATAACCATTTCGAATAAAAAATTAACTAGCACGAGGTTCCCCTGCATAAGCTGAATTAACTAGAGAGTCAGTTTCTTAGTTTTTCTGAAGAATCTTTGGTGTTTACATAAACCTTTGGCAACCTGAACCAATGTATGTACGTACGAAGTTCTGCTCTGTAGCTGACTGACTGTCTATATAAACCAGTAGCTAGTCAATGTCTGCCAATTTATTGATAATACTGGGAGTGCGAAGAAGGATTATCCAGGGTTTGTAACTGTATTTAAGTATATTGGAAGCATCACTTACAAATAATCGCTCTATAATTCCTATTATCACTCTTCTGCTTTGGAAAATAACATGAAACTTCACACTTTTAAAGAAAAATCCACATGTTATATCTTTGAAATAGGTTTTAGATTATTCAAACATTCATATCAGCATTAATAATAAAAAAAACCCAATTATTTTCAGAGAAAAATGACTGGACCCATCTCTCGTGGGATTTTTGTGGTTTTCGAAGGAGCAGATCGAGTGGGCAAGACAACGCAAGCGTTACTTCTAGCTAAAGCTTTGACAGAAATAACACATAAAGAGACTCTGTCTGTTAAATTCCCAGACCGTGATACTCCTTTGGGACAGCAAATAGATGCATATTTAAATGGAAAATGCGATATTGATAGTCATGCCTTACACCTGTTGTTCACTGCAAATAGGTAAATGTTTTTCAGTAATTACTAATTTTATTGATATGTACATAGTCAGGTATATAATTAGGGTGTTCAAAAATGTTCGCATAATCACACGATTTACCACTGATGATTACTTGGGTTTTAGTCGGTTATATATGTATCTCCTGACATTATATATAAGCATGTATGTAAATATTCATAGATTAAAAAAGGAGTACCATCCTCGCTAGACTTTTTAAGAATGCAATAGTATTTGACGATTCTAAAAATACCGTAGCTAAATGTTAAATTAGCTTGCACGACCTAACCGCATATTGAGTACAAACTTTTTCTGGGTGTAATCAGCCATTCTAATGCAGTTGATTTCAATTGAATATTATGTGGTGGACGTTTTTAATGAATAATTCCAATCTTAGTAATATGATTTATGAAAAATGCGGTATATAGATTTCTCCGGATTTTTATCAATGTAGCTTTAGAGAAAAACAATATTCATTGCCACAAATTGATATATTTTAACATAATCTGAAACGTAATGATTCTAGTGTCGATCTTACTTATTAGCGTTAATGGTGGTGTACATTCCTAAGTTGAAAACGTTTTATCTAAGGAATCCAAGTGCGCTAGTTCATTGTTTGATTTTAAAATTCCCAAACTTACTACTTGAATACACATCTGTAGTAAGTTCTTTGACAAATATTGTTTAATCTAACTTACGCTAGAATCAAAAGTTGTAGATCGTTTGGATTTGTGTTGATCACTTAATATCACACTCACTTCATATATTCCATTGTAAAAATATGTAGGTAGTTTATTGCATGAAACTACATGACTGCTTTCAATAGGCGACTTTTCTATTATTGATTGATAATTAGTATTTGTTGTATGCTGCACCTAATTCTGTAGCTGATCGACAGTTTTAATAAAATCAGACAGCTAGCTTACAACCACGAAATTCGTATATGATTTTACTTTGTGTTTCATTCAGTCAGTTGCAACGTAGAACTTCGTACGTATGTACATAAGTTCATGTTGCCATACCACATTAGCACAGAGACGCAAATGTCAAATCAAATCCCAGAGTGATAAAGATAGTAGAGGTATTAATGTTAATAAAGAAGAATAGGGTTTGAAGATAGTATTTAAGAAGTATAATTCAGTCAGATAAGATTAGAAAGACAAAGGTAGAGGTGCTGACGATTCCAGAAGATTAGGATTTGAGAGAGCTCAAAGAGTGGATGCACCTGCACCATTGCAAACGATTTTGAGCCATGTCGTTCAAGGTCTCTAACCATTGATGACTTTCGTCTCGCGGACCCCAACCAGGTAGTCTTACATCTACCAACATGACTCAGTCCACTTGTCATTGACTTCATGGATTTGTGGTATGTTTTGCTTTGGCCGCCCCTAGCTTTCTTCCAATCTACTCCTACACCACAAAACATAGCTCGTCGAGTCAGTCGGTGGTTAGGCATACGTAACACATGTCCCAACCACCTCAACTGATGAAGTTTCACCACTTCATCTATTGATCTGTCATCCTTACCTAGTACTCGTTTCCTAACGACAGCATTGCTTACTTTGTGTTTCAAATCTCTCTTGTTTTTAGTTTGTATATATTATCCTATGATAGTTTAAGGTCATCAAAGTGTTTTGATATGACAACATATCGATTTTTTTATTTCAGATGGGAAAGACAATCTGAAATTCGTAAAGCTATTTCCAATGGGATACCTGTTGTAGCAGATAGATATATATATTCTGGCATTGCTTATACAGCTGCTAAACCTCCACCAACACCAAATTGGGAATGGTGTTGTGAAATGGAAAAAGGTCTTGTAGAACCGGACTTAGTGATATGTTTAACACCAGATAATCTAGATGAATTAAATTCTCGTAATGGTTATGGAAATGAACGTTACGAAAAAGATGATTTTCAAATGCGTGTTCTTGAAAACTATGTTCGAATATCAAAAGATTTTAAATTAGATCATAAAAATGAGGACGATGAAACTGATGATTCCAGTGGACGTTGGCATTTTATTCAAGCAACAAATAAAACTACTGAAGAAGTACATAAATCTGTTATGGTACTTGTTAAATCTAAATTGGAATCATTGATTAGACCAGAAATTCATGATTGTACAACGGCGAAAGTTTAATGAATTCCTTGTTATTATTTGTAAGAAGTTGCATTTGATATTTCTTACTTTTGGCATCATTGTTCTTATAATAGAGCAAGGCTTTTCAAAACATAGCTTTCAATTTGTGCAAATCTAACCGGTTCATTCTATTTTTGTTATAACATTAATTATTCTCGTTCGCTAATACGATTGTTCTACATTAAAAATGAGTAACAAAACCGTAAATTTATTTATCATGTAAATTCTATTGCTTGGAACGTGATGCATTAAAAATGTTGAATATAAAAATTGCCAGTTACTTTGGTCATGGGTTGTTTCTTTTCGAGTTCTACAATATTTTATAAGAAACTTTTAGGATTGAGGCAAAGATTTTCAAAAAAATTTGAACGTCCAGTATTTAGAATTTCTTTTACAAGAAAACTATTTCTGTAAATATTTCAGCAATCAAAATTAAATCGTTTTAGCGTTTCGCTGTGAGACATTAGAAACAAGGAATCATTTTACTAAATCTAGAACAAGTTGAACGTTAGTTCAGTGTAAATAAATCGCCATTGTATTATTTCCGATATTGAGATTTGTACAGAATATAGATTAAAAACTGACATGAATGTATAGTAGTTCGAATTACCGGGTTAAGAATCTCTCGCTAGGTTTAGAAACATGTACAGCACGAGAATAAGCAGTTAATGAATAAAGATTTCCAGAACTGTCATTCTCAAAGCTGCGATTTCAACTTTTTGCCATCTTCTAATTAATAATGTAGTGTTTACTAGTAAACAGTTTTGATCTGTATTAGAAAAGAAATATAAATTTCATTGGATCGATTGGAAACTAGCTCTGCGAGTGTATGGGCCTTACTTTACTTACGCCAGCTACCCCATATGTTGCAAGGGCTGCTGACCTTTTTTGGTTAGCGTTGTTTAGCCAGTCAACTTTCTACGGGATGCGGTCGCTAACCCCTATGCCCAACCTTTCTGCTTTATTCGAGCTTGCGGCTGGCAGTAACCGCAGAAAGGCTACTAAGATTAAATCCGTTTTTCTCAAGTAAAATCAACTATAAATCTACACAAACTGTTATGATTTATGTTCCACGTATAAATTTATTGATTAGGTGAGTAATCGTCGATTCATGATGATTATTATCAAATGATAAGGTGGTTTGGTTTTGATTCAGTGGTACATTTGTTAATTCCATTGATGCACCAGTCATTTGTAAAGTATGTTGAAATAATTTCCAGTTTATCGGCCAGCTATTCTATAATAATTGAAACAAATTGACTAACCAAAAGAATATGCTTGGGTCTTCTTGGCATCCTTGTGAATAGGCTGTGATCATAAGGGAGCAGTTGTGCAATATAGTGCGAACACTGATTATTACACCCAGATTGCCATTTATCTAAAACTGACAGTCGAAATCAATACTTTAACGACCGTTGATTTTAATAGCAGTTCTTCCTATCTTGCTCACTTATCCAGAATAGAAAACAACACATCGACTAGATACATATTTTGCAATAGGGGCCGAACTCAGGTCAGTCAGTTAGTTACAACGTAGAACTTCGTACATACGTACATCAGTTCAGGTTGCGATGCCGCATTAAAACAGAAACACAATTGCCAGTTCAAATCCCATAGAGGTAGAGATAGTAGAAGTATTAGTAGTAATCGGAGAGATTAGGGTTCGAAGATATAATTCAAGAAGTAGAATCTAGTGAAATAAACCTAAAAAGATAAAGGTGATAAAAAATCCAGAGGATTAGGATTTGAGAGAACACAAAGAGTGGATTCTCTTGCGCGATTGCAAACGGTCTTGAGCCATGTCACTCAAGGTCACTAATCATCGATTACTTTCGTCTCGCAGATCCCAACCAGATAGTCGACACCTACCAACATGACTTAGTCTAGTTGTCAGTGACTTTGTGCCATGTTTTCGTTTGGCCACACCTAGCTTTCTTCCAATCTATCCCTACATCTCAAAGCATAGCTTGACGAGGCAGTCGGTGGTTAAGCATACGCAACACATGTCTCAACCACCTCAAATGATGAAGTTTCAATACTTCATCTATTGATTTGCCATTCCTACCTAGAACTCGATTCTTAACTATAGCATTGCTTACTTGATTGTTCCAGGATACATGAGCAATGCTTAGGAAACACCTATAATCCAAAGCAGCAGGCTACGAATATCTTCTACTATGACTTGTCATGTTTCCCACCTATAAAGTAGGAAGGAAAGAAGTATACTCGTCCTTTGGTTAGCTGATGGATATCTCGCCTACGCCAAAAGTGACGCAAGTTAGTAAAAGTCAGTGGAGCCTTCTGTATCCGTGAGATTTTGTCAGTCACCAGGCTATCAGCACTGATAAGACTCCCAAGATAAACAAAGCGGTCGACACGCTCAACCGGTTTACTCCTTATCACTAGTTCAGGTGCCAATGTAACCCAGCCTCGAAGCAACATTATGCATTTCGAGGAGGAAATCCGCATTTCTACTTCATATCAAGTCTTCTTCTTTCACTCAATGGGGGTTGGGACACTCGGATTAGAATAGCATGTCATGTCGCCGGATCCTCGCTCTCGTTTTCCGTGTAAAGTAAACTCCTAATAATTCAAGCATATCAAATTGACATGTTTACGTGCATGTGTAACAGAGGTCTTCTGTAATTTTGTAGACTTGGACGATCAGGGAACGAGACCAGTCTAATGGGATTACGCCCAAGTTCTAGCTAAGGTCTCAGTCAATCTAACTACTAAAAGTGGTCCGACATCCTTAAAAGTCTCAAGAGTTAGCCTATCAGGACCCGCTTTAGATTTATTATAGCTTTCTCAACTTCATCCAGAGTTGGAGGACTCACATCAATTTGCCATTCAGGTTGACTGGAGACCGTGAGCAACGTAAGTGTGGCTAAAGGTCAGTTAAATTGATCCCTGAAGTGTCCCGCCCATCGATCCAATCCCCTGGATTGAGTATGAATAATACGCCCATCCTCTTCTGAGATAGTTTCGCCAACATATGGATTCCTAATGTCAGTTTCCTTGATAAGGCGGAACAGTTGTCTACTGTTTCCTATCATCACTGCTTTTACATCGCTCTGGCCTTCGCTACCCACCACTGTTCGCGATCAGCCTGCGCCTGATCTGACTTCGCTCTTCATCATGTTCAGAACCAGGTGGGATGAGTTTCCGAACATCAGCTCGGTGGATGCTACTGAGATCCACGGCTTTTTACTGGAATCCAGTCTAAGAGAGTTAGTTCTGCCCCAGCGCTCAATGCTATACATCACCAGCCAGACCCCGGGATGCAGCAGCGGGGCCCCCAAATACCCAGAGTACAGGCCGACGTGGTTCTTTATTTGGAAAAGGTCCAGTCAATTTAATCACTGTATTTGGGTCCTGTAAGAATGTGTCGGAGACGCAGCATACATCGATGGCGCGAGAATCTAAAGTTCTTGCTAAGGATGCTTGTTGTCCTATTTGACACAATTTCCAGACATTAAAAGCTCCAACATGCAGTTCAGAATGGGATTTTAGGAGACCAGGATTAACGTTTCGTGAACTCAAATCATCTGCATTAGCGGTGCCGGGTGATAAACGAACGTGAGAAGGGTTAGTTGTGGAGGTAAGAGAGATTTGTTTATGACCAATTTTGTCTCGTGTGTTGTGGATATAAGGGCGCATTTATCTTCCTGACTTCCCAGACTGTGGAAGGGTGTTTCTTGAGGAAGTTGGATTTAGAGACCTGTGAGCCTGACTACAAAGCACAAGGTCAGTCACGCACGGCCTTTGAAGTGTTGGCTCCGCTCTTGTTTAAAAGCCCCTGCCGTAGGAGACGGAAACCAGTGAGATGTGACATTTTTAGGGTCGACCTTTTCTAACTCCTTCCTTCCCTAGGAGAAGGCAGCATCCCTGCAGGTGCTGGTTGTCCGAGTGAAACACCTTACTGCTGTCACATCTCTCTACAGTCAGCAGTACGACTTCGCCCTCAGACCATGAGTAGCTTCTGCATTTAGTCTCATCGTTCTCCAATCGACCTACCCGGTATGGCAGAACCAACAGGAACATATATCCCGGCCAACTTAGCTCGACTAGGTCATCACAATCGCTTCGTCAGGGTAGCAGCTATGGTCAGGGTCGAACTAAGGAACTTCAGGCCTCGCGAAACGACTCTATCCATGTGATCCATTGGGTGCCAAAAGATCATTCCAGGAATATTACCCCTTCCACAACACTGTGGCCCTGGGTCCAACCCTTAATGATGTCCTGGTTGAACGCTGATAAAGGTCTCATGCAAGGACAAAACAAATGTCCTCTTAAGTAAATGATCAATAATTATCCAGCATGAATCAGTTCGTGATAAAGTGCATTTACATTGAACATGTTTTAAGTGCAGTGTGACATTCACTGTCTGAGTTCTCACTTTCTATATGCTAAAAGCGATAACAACATAGAGTCGGAAAGGCTGTCTCAAAAAACATGTTTAACACTCCGATTATAGCCGGGTTTTTTTTAATGGCACGGGATTTTAGAAATGTATTTCACTGTAGTTTTCGAGAGAAAAAATCTCTGACCTTTTTAAATGCATCAAAAAAGCCTAATTTGCATCAGATACACAAATCCAAATAATAACCTCAACAATTCAAATTACATATGATTTCTTAGTCAGTCTAACAAAAGGCTCATTCGTTCCTGACGTGACATTTTCAAACTTGTACTGAATAGAGAACAAACATAAATGCACATGACAAATGCATAGCTATACTTGACATCGGAATGTAGTTTGTAAATGTTCCATCTGAGAGGAACATGTACTTTTCCCAAGAATTGATACAGATCTGTTCTCCAGCATTGAAACTTATAATAAAAATCAAATACTCGAAATATCTAAAAGTCGACTAGGGTATTCTATGGAACTTCGGTAATATCCAGTGTTTGAGTAACAATCTTATGAAATTGTGTTCACGTTCATTGGGATGAGAACTACTTATTTACCCACACAAACTCTCCAACCGAAGTCTAATGGAAATAATCGTGTACCGAATTTAGTTGACAAACATTTTTGGTCCAGTGAATTCGTATAGTCGCAAATACTTCTTACTTTTCCAAATGATGATTAGTAGTGTTGTAGTGAACGAGAACACAGGTGAGGGCAACCGAATTGTATTTAACAAAAATTACAGAGTTAATCAGTAAAATAGGAAAACCATATCGTAACCGTTAATTTGCTAATCTTCAATCGATTGTCTGACATTTCAATATTCATGCGTTTCATACAAATTCCATTGTGTTCCCACTCTTCCTTTCTTGATCTTCTCCCATCTTCTGCTGCTAGACATTACGTTTACACTCGCGTCATATACTACTTATAAGTAGCGCGCACCACAGTGTCATTCAATGACAATAATTTGCTATACATGATTAAAGCCTTCAAAATGAATTCACCCAAATGAGGATTTTTCGCTGAACTTGCATGTTTTGTTTTTATGTCTCACTGCGTACATTTCATTGATTTAAAAAAAAATATGAATCATATATCTCACAGTGAAGATGAGACGCGCACGAATACTGACTTCAAAGGCAACATGTTCTTAAAGATTAAGGATATCAAACCTCTATAATGACTCAAGTCACTTTAAATCATTATTGAGCCTTTCGTTCAACTAGCGGTTTATGTTTCACATCAAGTACAATCTCACAAATCTGATCACTTCAATGATGTACATACGTTTTATTTTATTGTGAAGCTGGTCATACTAATCGGAAGTATGATAACAAAACATTTAACTACCACTACCAATCAACTTAAAGTCACTAAGAATAACATCTACTTCTCAAATCATGTTTGTAACAACTAGCACATCCACTTTCTTCATTAATCAGATCGATGAGCTCAGCTCATAAAAATCTATAGAATGTTTTTTTGACGTAGGCGATTGTTGACAGACCTCATGAAAAGATTGATGAATCTCCACTTATTTCCTGAATTCCATTTAATTTATACTTTGAGAAAATAACAAGATAAAATGAGTAGCACATACACTTGGGATCTTGGAGAAAGTAATCGATAGACATCCGGAAAACTACCTACAGAGCTTACATGTTGAGATGAGGCACTAACTATATCATAAGTTTCACACAATAGGTTCAGTCAGATGCAACGTAGAACTTCGTACGTAAGTACATCAGTTCATGTTGCCATACCACAATATTAGCACAGAGATAAAATTGTCAATTCAAATCCAATAGTAGAAGAGGTAGTGAAGGTATCAGAAGTAATCGGAGAGGTAAGGATTAGGGGATATTATTCAAGATGTATAATTCAGTGAGATAAGTTTAGAAAGTCAAAACTAGAGGAGTTGAAGAATCCAGAAGATTAGGATTTGAGAGAATACAAAGAATAAATGCACCGGCGCCATTGCAAACGGTTTTGAGCCATGTCATTCAGGGTCTCTAACCATCGATTATAATCATCTCGCGGACCCCAACCAGGTAGTCGACAACTACCGACATGGCTAAGTCTACTCGTCAATGACTTCATGGATTTCTGCCATGTTTTGGTTTGGCCGCCCCTAACTTTCTTCCAACCTACTCCTACACTACAAAACAAAGCTCTTCGAGGCAGTCGGTGGTTGGGTAATACGCAACACATGTCCCAACCACCTCAACTGATGAAGTTTCACCACTTCATCGATTGATCTGCCATTCTTACCTAGCACCCGTTTCCTAATAACAGCGTTGCTCACTCGGGTGTCCTAGGATATACGAGCAATGCTTCGAAGACACCTATGATCGAAAATCAATAGGTTCACTAATGATAAAATGATCATAGGATCTAAACACAGTAAGAACATTGCTACAGAGAAGCATTGAACAATTTAAGATTAACGAAAATTAAATCAAATACAACTGTGATAACATCGGTTGTTAAGTTCAGTTGATTTATCTTAATATACTTACAACGAAAAAAACTTAATCTGACTGATGAATTTACCTCGGTAATCTTTAAGCCTAGGGTAATGTGACAATTTTCCTACCCCTTCTTATTCTTTTCATATTACGATAATTTTCTCTCTCCTTTATTTACGATTATCACCCAATGTCTATTTGAACTTTTATTTAATTGACCTGTTATTCATGTTCATACAAAATGCCTTGACAAATAAATATGTATTACGGGGTTGTGAAGATTGTTAATGCAAATTACCTGTGCTCACTAGTGACTAGCTTCGTGAGGAATCTTCTCCAAGTTCTAGTGGGAAGACGTGACCAGTGAAGTTCAACCTGTTCGGGTGTTGACATTAACTATCGAAGACTTTGTATGAGGTTGCGCGACTCCGTGAATTGATAAAGTTAGACATTAACACCATTAGATACCGGCTCAGTGACCCGATGGTTAGGCGTTCGCGCACAATACCGAACGTCCTGGGTTCGAATCCTGCGGGGCGCCGAAGTCGTGGATGCGCACTGCTGAGGAGTCCCATACCAGGAAGAAACGGCCGTCTTCCAGGTTTCTAATGGTGTAGTCTAACATTGATCGATTCATGGTTTCGAAAAAAAGAGTAAATATGTGTGACCAGATTGTTCGAAATGTGTATATCACAAACACATCACAATATTTTTCAGATCAATTACGTCTTCTCATTGTGTTCTATCAAAATTTATTAAAAGGGACTAAATGTTTTAAAGTTCTAGCGAATAAATAGTTAGTGTATGTGAGTAGAAACTGATTGTAATGTGAAACTTTTACTATCAAGTGCACGCAATACATTGACCTAATAAATAATGACTGAGCTAAGTAATGAGGCTAGTAGAGGAAAAGTTAGAATAGCCGATCTGCAATGGCGCAAGTGCATCCATTGTTTGAGCTCTCTCAAATCCTAATCTTCTGGATTCTAACCTTATCTCACTGAATTATACTTCTTGAATAATATCTTCAAACCTTAGTCTTTTTCATTACCATTAATACCTCTACCATCTTTATCACTATGGGATTTGATTTGACATTTGCGTCTCTGTGCTAATGTGGTATGGCAGCATGAACTTATGTACATACGTACGAAGTTCTACGTTGCAATTGACTGACTGACTGATGTGACAAAAAGATAAATATAATAGTGTATAAAGTAAGTTATTATTATTATTTTTTTGTTTGATAAAATAAGAAAAATAGAAAAATTTTTGTACAAAGACTGTTTTTGTTTTTCTCAGATGAATTAAGGTTTCCAAAGTTTCAACAAACCATCTTCTGCATATGTTGCTAATAAATTCTGATGTGGATGATGAGCACAACCAATGACATTTTTATCATGAACCTAAAAAAAAGTATAAAGAAAAGAGTAATAAAGGTAATTGTAAATGTATCATATTATAAATGCGCGACAACGGAAAACTTATCATGAGATTACTATTGACTAGCTTCGAGAGGAGTTTTTAGTGAGAATATGAGATCAGTGGAGTCCGGCCATGTTAAATGTGAAGAAGGTACTCACCGAATACAATGGGAAATAGTCTTGCAGTGTCGTTGGTTCATTAAGGTTAGACATGTACAGTGGTTTAGATTGAGAGAGAAAAAGTCTTGAGTTCGGCTCCTGGATATGGGGACCGTGGGTATACACACTTGTTCGGAGTCCCGCACTACGATGAAACAGCCATTCAATGATCCTTATCTTCTGGTGGTCGTCTAAATTAGATAAGTTTATGATTTAAACAAAACTCAATTTCCACATCTTCATACGGACTTATTTTGTTGTTGAAAGAAATAGTTAACATTGAACAAAACTAGAAAACAAACATATTGCGGTTCGTCGACAATTAACTTTCGAAATGACTTACATGTAAAGTATGTTCTAATTTTCCGCCAGATCTAATACTGAAACAATACAATGATTGATCTTCAGCTAGACAGTAAATCCATTCACCACGACCACTAAGTGTACAATCAACAATATCTCCATTTTCACGTTTACCATTAGTGAAACTTTGTACAACCTAAAAATACAAATATGTACCATATAAAGAGCAATAATAAAAACAGTAAATTCAAGTTTTGTAATAAAATAGATAACTGAGAGAGGGCGTTGTGAAACAATAAGTACCGACAGACTGGATATTTGCGTCTCTGTGCTAATGCGGTATGGCAACCTGAACTTATGTACATACGTACGAAGTTCTACGTTGCAACTGACTGACAGACTGGAGAATAGGATAACTCAACAAGATAACAAAGAAATGTCATAATAATTGTGGGAACTACAAAGGTATCAACATGACTATCAGGACCAAGAAAAATTCTTAATAGTGTTGGTGAACAGAGTGAAGAATTCATTAGATATCCAACTTCAAAATCAATAGGCTAAATTGCATAAGGGCCGATTCTGTGTCAGCCAAATCAAGACACTAAGGGTCATTATTAAACAATCAGATGAGGAAGCACTTGACAACATGGATGGGAGAACATTATCAAATCTTTTCAACGTCTTAGTGTACCTGAGACGGTTGTCACCATAGAAAAGGAGAGTTACGACGGGTCACACTGTAAAGTCATGCATGAAGAGCAGGTCACGGAGGCAGTCCGAATTAAAGGTTGGTGTAGAACGAAATTGCTTACTCCAGTCTTTCCACTTCCATTGATTGACTGGAATATGAAGACCTTCACATCACAGAGAAAGAACGGAATATAGTAAACATTTCGAATACAGACGTACACAACCAGTGTAGCTGCAGTCTTCAGAGCAGCAGACCACAAAATAGACAGGGGAAAAGGTAGAATCCATAGATATAATTCATCGAGCACCAGGTCAGCATCGTTTATAAACATGGCAGATAGCGCGAAGATGTGAACGCACGGATCAGTTTATCAACAGCGGTACTTCTACAAGTGGAGATCATCTGGGACTCAAAACAACTTTTATTCAACACCCAAGTCAGAATTTTCAAAGTGAAAATCAAGACAGTCCTATTGTATGTATCTGAAAATCAGAGAACTATGAAAACCATCATTTATAAAACAGAGGTATTTATAAACAGTTGTCTATAGAAGGCACTTTGGATCCGTTGCAAAAACACCAGTAATAAAAATCTACAGTGGTAGAGAACAAAACAACTTCCGGGTGAGGGAATTGGGAAAAGACCCTGAAGATGGACAGGACATCCGCTGAAGAAATCACCAAACTGCACCACAAAGCCAGCCCTGACTTAGAATCCTCAAGACAAAAGGAAGAGTGGACATTATTTAGGGAATCGGGAGCAGATATCAAAAGAATCAATCCTGATTCCAAAAGCTGATTTCCCTTTGATGGTAGAGAAAGGTCATTTTGTGTCTCGAATCGCTGCAGTGAAATCTAGCAACACAAAAGCCGCATTCTATTAGTATGCATAATATTACCCTATAAAAATCACTAAGAGTCGATAGATGGAGGGAAAAAGTTGGTTGGAGAATCCTGGTCGGCGGGCTATGCTCCATGATGGGTGACAGGAGCAAGGATGAACTGATTGGATACACAGCTTTGGAACAAGGATACATAGAAACTGCCTTCAAAGAAATCAAGTTAGATGAAAAGCATATGCGTTTCATTAGAGTAAATGGTTCAATGTGAAATGATTGTAACTTTCCCTAACGAGTTTTAGCTTTGCACTATCATCAAACTACTCACACTTATGTCAGTAGACCAATATACAAAACAATACGACTTACTTGACCTTGAACATTCATTATAGCAACAGTGTTCGAACGACTTCCAACAAGAAAATGATCTGGATCTTGTGGAAACAAGATAATAGAGTGAATAGGCACTTCACGTCCAAGTAAACTAGAAACAGTCTACAAATAATTTCATGAAACGAAAAATAATACAGAGAGAGATAATTTATATGAATGGAAATCGCTTAACTAATCAACAACTACACATGAAGTGAATGAAATTTCGCAAGTATAAATGTTTTGATGAATTATTTAGTTCAATCGGTTCAAGTTTTCAACCATCGACTGACTTGATAGCTTAGCCGTGTGTTAAAGTGAACATTCTTTTTATGAAGTTCAGATTTAATTGAATAGATATTTAGCCACGTGAAACATGGACAGTAAGAGTAGAAGATATTCGTAGCTTATTAGTATTCGACCATAGATTTCTTCGAAGCATTGCTCGTATATCCTGGGACATCCCAGTGAGCAAAGCTGTTATTAGGAAACGGGTGCTAGGTAAGAATGGCAGATCAACAGATGAAATGCTGAAACTTCATCAGTTGAGGTGGTTGGGACATGTCTTACGTATGCCTAACCACCGACTGCCTCGAAGAGCTATGTTTTGTAGTGTAGGAGTAGGTTGGAAGAATGTTAGGGGCGGCCAAAATAAAACGTGGCAGAAATCCATGAAGTCATTGACGAGTAGACTTAGCCATGTCGGTAGTTGTCGACTACCTGGTTGGGGTCCGCGAGATGATAATGATCGATGGTTAGAGACTTTGAATGACATGGCTCAAAACCGTTTGCAGTGGCGCAGGTGCATTTATTCTTTGTGTTCTCTCAAATCCTCATCTTCTGGATTCTTCAACAACTCTAGTTTTGACTTCCTAAACTTTTCTCACTGAATCATACTTCTTGAATAATTCTCCTCATCCTAACTTCTCCGATTACTTCTAATACCCTTACTACCTCTTCTACTATTGGATTTGAATTGACGATTACTTCTCTGTGCTGATGTGGTATGGTAACATGAACTGATATACTTACGTACGAAGTTCTACGTTGCATCTGACTGACTGACTGACTATTTAGCCACTGATAATAAATGATTAGAGAAGATCTGCACGTAAGCATAATCTCATGTTACATGCTTATCGCTATTCAGTAGTATAGGATATCTGTATTTTACAAAGCTTGTGGATACCTTTCAGTAGGTTTAAAATTCTATTATCTAGAAACATAAACTAATTGCAGGATAAGATTTCGACCATTGAATACTTATCAGTTAGTTTGCTGATTCATCGATTTACTCAACTAATCGGGTGCCATTAAAAAAACCAGGAAGACATAAGAAGATTCTCAAGTATATTCTGTATAAACTTATATGATTTTAATGTCATATCCCCTGTTGTTCAGAGTTTATTGGAAATATTGTTCATTGAATGTCAGTTTACTTCTGGTTTGAGAAAAGCAAAGCGACGTATGATGCCAAGAGAGCAGCAGACACTGATGATACAACACAGAGTTTCTACCACGGAGTTATTCTGGCTAGAGAGATTGATATCACCCAAGACTGAAATATTTGCACTGATTGCCAATGGAGCAGAAATTAATCTCTATCTATTTCGGTTTATTCAATTGCATAGTATCACTAACTGAAGTTAACGTGCAGTAAAAGATGTGCGCAGCTCAGAATCCTCTACCTACACTAGTGCAGATGCATTCACCTTTTATCTATCTTACTTTAGATTTACAGTTCTAAAAATTGTATATTTACAATTTATTCTAAAAAACGACGGTTTTTTTACTAATATCTACAGCAGATATTTTTCAGTTATTATTGACTCATGTAAGCTAGCAATTCACTACTTGATAAACACACTAGTCGAGTTTATATGACATTATCAATCAATATTGATTTACGAATAGAATCGTACAAAATTCGTTTTCAGTATGGGGTCGTGAAGGTTACTGAATTGTTTTGAAGGTACTGAGTCCGATTCCTCAGAGTAGCGAGAGTCGTAGATGCGCACTACTGAATCCGTCCTATACCAGGACGAAACAGCCGTCCAGTACCTCTAGGTATCTTCTAATGGTGGTCTAACATTGATCAGTTCATAATTTCACAATCCATTTACTTATCAATAAACATTTAAAATGATTCAACTCATTAGATAATCTAGTAGTTTTATTTTATCAACTTGTAAACTAAACACCTAAGTTAGTCATTAATTATCAACAAACATAGTTGTATCAGTTTAAAATGTCACATCACATATTATGAAGATGACAGAGGAAATTGACACGAAGAGATATAAATGATCAGGGTTGGTCTGAAGTATAATAGAAATCTAAAAATGAAAACGGCAAGTTGAAATGAATAGAAATGAAATCCGGGAATAAAGCATTTTAAGTCATAAATTAGATGAAGTTAGCGAACGAATCCGAACACATTAGTGTGATCGATTTTCAAGAAACTTTGGCCATTGATTATGAGCACGGAGCAGCGGTCAATCAGGAAGTTTGCATGTACCCAGATAGCTTAGACCATTAGTCAATGAAGTTACTGACTGATGAGATAGATGTCTTAGTTTGCTCGCCACATATTTTTTCAAACTTATTTATGTTGTGTGCCCGACGTCAATAAAAACACCGATGCCCCATCAAAATCGAACAAAGCTTTGAATGTATTTATGGTTACATACTTACAACTAACGTGTATCTTTTATTTTTAATCGTTTTTTTTAAAGCCATAGAGTACTACAGACCAGATGTCTAAGCCTGATAGTCAATGGGAAGACAACTCACGTGGGGTCACTGTTAGTGTTAGCTTGAGAAACATTGGTGCTTTATTATGGAAAATCTTAACACAAAAATGTAACGATATCAATGGCAGTAATGGTACAATAATTAAAATTTACCTTAAAACTATTTATACATTCACCACTACGATATGACCAAATTTTTACAGAACCATCAGAACTTCCACTAAGAAAATGATCACCGTCGGGTAAGAATACCAGACAATTGACAACTCCAGTATGACCAATAAATTCACGAAGCATTTTGCCTGATTTAATTGCATATGTTCTATGTTGACAGAAAGATATTAAAAAGTAAATATACAAAATGAAAATGTACAAAGACAAAACAGTTGAAATGCATGCATTTATCAAGCACACGTTCAAGGATTCAGTTTAGGCCAGACTGTTTATGTGACAGCTAATTGGATTAACTGGTTGCTGAAACTGAAGAAGACAAAACACTGTTGAAACCAAGAGCCTTAACCACTAAGTTAACCCTCATTAACATGAAACAAAGTTCGCGAATTCGCTATTATGAAGAAACTGGTGCTTTCCATATTTCAAACTTGAGTTAAATACATCAGAACTGTGGGAATACTCCAAAAAGTTATTCAGTAATAGGCACAAGCTTATTGGTATAGGTTTCCGATTGGTCAAATAAGTCTAGACATGCGAAGGTTAGATAGATGTCTTGAGGATACCGGTTGGTGTGCAGCATTCACGATATGGCCGATTGGTGAAAGTGAATTATTCATCTACCCAAGGTCATTATTTACATATCTTTGCCTTGGCCAGTAACATATACAAATCCAATAGCTGCGTGTCTGTCAGTCAGTCAGCTACAACGTAGAACTTCATTCGGACGTACATCACTTCAAGTTGCCACAAAGCATTAATTAGCACAGACAGATCGAATTATCAATTCAAATTACATGGTAGTAGATGTAGTAGAAGTACTATTAGTAATGGAGAAGGTAAGAGTTCGAAGATATGATCCAAGAAGTATATCCCAATGAAATAAATTTAAAAAGAGGAACAAGGTCATGAGGAATTTAAAAGATTAGAAATTGGATGTGTATCGATCATTTGGTTTGGGAATATAGGTGACTGATGAAATCCCAGCACGGATACAGAATGCTCGATTAGCTTTTGCCATCATCTTGCGTCACTTATGATGTAGGCGAGATATTTGTTTGCTAAACAAAGGACGAGTCAACTACGTAGCAGTTCGATCAGTTCGACTTTATGGCTGTGAAACATGACCACAAAGAGGCGAGGATATTCGTAGATTATTATTATTCGATCATAAGTTTATCCGAAGCATTGCTCCTGTATCATGGGACAACCAAGTAAGCAATGCTGTCGTTAGGAAGCGAGTACTATGTAAGGATGGCAGATCAATAGATGAAGTAATGAAACTTGATCAGTTGAGGTGGTTGGGACATGTGTTGCTTATGCCTAGCCACCGACTGCCTCGTCGAGCTTTGTTTTGTAGTGTAGGAATAGGTTGGAAGAAAGTTAGGGGCGGCCAAACCAAAACATGGCAGAAATCCATGAAGTCACTGACAAGTGGACTGAGTCATGTTGGTAGATGTAGACTACCTGGTTGGGGTCCGCGAGACGAAAGTCATCAATGGTTAGAGACCTTGAACGACATGGCTCAAAATCGTTTGCAATGGCGCAAGTGCATCCATTCGTTGAGCTCTCTCAAATCCTAATCTTCTGGATTCGTCAGCACCTCTATCTTTCTCTTTCTAAATTTATCTCACTGAATTATACTTCTTGAATAATATCTTCAAACCCTAATCTTCTCTATAACTGCTAATACTTCTTACTACCTCTACTACCATGGGATTTGGAGCGACAATTGCATCTCTGTGCTAATGCGATATGGCAACCTGAACTGATGTACGTACGTACGTACGAAGTTCTACGTTGTAACTGACTGACTGATCATAGGTTTGTAACCATTTCTCATTCTCTGAAGTTGAATAAAACTGAATTGGACGTTCTTAATTCTTTCATTGAAAAGATATATATATATATATATATATATATATATATATACGTACATAATATCACCTACCTGATTAAATGATCAAAACTAGCTGTTAAAATATTTGTATTATCTCTAGTAAATTGTATACTAGTTACGCCTTTTTGATGAGCTTTTTCTATTCTACGAATACATTGACCATATTGTATACGCCATATTTTTACTAGACCATCATTTGAACCAGCTGCAATCAGCTCTGAATCACGACTAAATGCTAAACATAATACTGTATCTTCCATCATCATAAATGTATCCTATGAAGGAGTTAGAAGTAAAATAAAATATAAAAAAACATTGCAATTGGATAATGTGTTTAGATTGAGTGTAGTAGAACAAATACAAATGACGCGAATGATCAACAACAATATTAATTGTAGTGGGAATCATATCAAAGAAGGTGATATTTTAATTAAAATTAAGGGCAACCAAAGCAAGTTGTTGCATTATTT